CTTGGCCTGCTGTGTTCATCCAGCTCTACACCTTGTTATCTCAGATTCTCCAGCATCTGCAGTTCCTATTATCTCTGAAACACCTTTAGTGAGATGATGCTTTCTCTAAGAGCTGAGAGAACTGATCTTTTACCAGATGGCAGTTTGCTCTCTGCCGATTTTGCAACTATCCCTGTCTTTTATACCCTTGGTGACTTATCAATTTCTTACAATAGGATTGGTACTATGTTGTCAAAACTATCAGATTTAAAATTAACTGGTTTTTAGTATCTAAGTGTCTGGTTTAAATTAATTGGCTAAATCGAAACCTGTTGTCTTGATGACAAAACAAAACCAGAATTGGCCTGCTAATAACCATCCAGCCTTTTGATACAATTGTTCCAATTCAGGTGCTCTGTGCACCTACAAAGCCACAAGCAGCCCACAGACATTTTTTAAATCTCCAAGCCTAGAAAAAGCACATCATCTTTTAAAGGAACCACACACTGCTTTCCCCCTATAATTTTATAAATATCAATATTTTACAAACGGCAAATTCTAGCGCCCTGCCTTCCAATCCACAAGGACTTGCAACAACCTTTAATCCACATCCTTTGATATAAATATATTATAAAAATCTTACCAATTCCAGCCTTCAAAATTGCAGTTGACCTCCTACATATACATGCTTTTGTAAGACAGTGTTCCAGATTTCCAATACCCTTTTCTTCCTGCTTTCACTCCTGAATGGCCTGATCGCTCACCACCATTCTGCTACCTGCTCCTTATGCTGTTTGTTGTTCAAATGTAATTTGAACATGTTGGGTGATTTATTTTGCCCTGTGGTTATTTCACTTCAAAAAAATTCACTGACAATCAGAAATATTTGACAATTTATTTAATGCCCACTTATATGTTAAAGATTTGAAGAGGCCTTCTGTGCGCACTTAGGCTGATTTTTATTGTGCCTGTCCTAACAACGAGGAAGGAGGAAACCATAGTCCTGGTGTTAATTCAGAAACCTGTAAGGGCACTGACCTCTTTTTATATTGCCATTTTATTCAGTACCAGCAGCCCTTCAGGGAAATGTGATTTAGTTTTTGACAAAAGCCTGTGGATAACCTGTGCACAAAAATGCACACGACTTAAGTCTTTCTTTTTGACTTCCCACAGAGGGAGCACCTGAAGATTGCACAACAATATTTCCAGTTAGTTGGAGGCTCTGCCAGTGAATGTGGTATGTACTTGAGCCTTGTGAATGTGTGACAGCTTAAAACTAGATACTCCATTTAATTGTAATGTATACTGAATGCCTTGACAGAGCATGAGGTCCTCTTATATTGAAGTGCAACCTCCAGAAGAAGAGTCACTGGACTCAAAATATTAACTCAAGTTTTCTGTTCACAGATACTACCAGACCTGCTGAGTTTCTCCAGCAGTTTCTGTTTTTTTGTTTGCAGCCTCCATTATTGTTTAGAATGAAGGGTATATCCCCTTAACTCACCCATTGCAGAGTGGAAGTTGGAGGATAAACAAAAACCTCAATCTGCAGTTTTAGAAAATGGAACATGCTCTCCTGCTAAGCAGCAGGACTGAATTTGAATGTGGTAAGACTGCAGCATCCTTATAAGAGGAAAGGGGATGGTGCTATTTAACATTTCTTCAAGAGTGTAAGAAGAGGAGCAGAGGTAATCCACGTGGCCCGTTGAGCCCATTTAATATGGTCATGGCTGGCATTAGGGTTCAACTTTACATTTCTGTCCACTTCCCATATCTCTTAATTTCTTGAGAGATCAGATATTTGTCTACCACTGCCTTAAATATATTCAGTGATGTACCCATAACCATCTGGACTAAAGAATTAGAAAGCATTACAACATTTTTTTTTAAAATAATTTCTCTTCATCCCAAACCTAAATGATCACATTATCCTTGGTCTGTGCCTCCATGTTTTAAATTCTCAGACCAGTAGAAACAAGCTGTCAGTGTCTAACCCTTCAGAATCTTAATATGCTTCAATGAAATCGCCTGAATGCAAGGCATATTGGCCCAATTTACTGAACCTTTCATGTTATGGACCAGACCAAACCCCCTTCAAGCAAACCAAAAGAAAATAGGCTAGACCCTAACTTTTATCGTATTTAAAGGCAAATATAAGTTGCTGCGTTCCAGATGTAATTCATTGGTTACACTACTCGGCTTTAAGCAAAACACACTATTCTTACCCTATAGTTAAAATACAAACAAAAAAAAATTAGTTTAACTTTAACTCTATTGGTAAACTTAACAGGATAATAGATTACTTAACTATCAAACAGCAAGTGTTCCAATATAGTTACATACCATAAACACAGAAGTAAAGTCAGTAAATTAGGTTTTCTGCTGCCAGAATTGCATGTGAGACAGGGAACCCAAGAAAGCTTTCACCTGTGACAGAAATGTAGCAGCTTCCACAGCCAGCTTCAAAGCCCCAGCAACCACTGAAAGCTGCAATAAACCCTGGTTCTGTGGGAGCCTGACTCTACCCATTCATGCTGCTTCTATTGTTCCGACTTTTAAAAAAATCCCAAAGCTTCACAAGCTGTTCACTGTATTGGGTTGGAACAGACCCCTCATTACCTCTGTTTGAACCTCCCTTCATTAAAAAAACACTCTCCAATGGACACACTCTCATCACAGAGACCAACTCAGTGAACAGAATGTTTGTTTCTTATTGTCCTGCTATGAATGGCGTTGGCAGTGTTGTGCTGGTACACCCAGTTTTCCAGAGCATGATGTCAGTGCACTGATGAATGAAGACCTCAAGTAATGAGCAGTTTTGTATCTGTGTTGCCACAGTTACCCATGTCAGTTTACTAGTTACCTTTAGTCACCAAAGCATGCTGAGGCCAGTATGCTCAGGTATACTCAAACAGAGGTTTCCTTGTTATGTGGAGGAAATTTTAAAGCAGTGGAATAGCTTTTACAAAACCTAGCTGGACCATTGTTCTGTCTTCAATGTGGTATTCTTTGTAAAACTTCCATCTTATTTTCAGATACCATCCCTGGGCGTCAGTGTATGGCCTCCTGTTTTTTTCTACTGAAGCAGTTTGAGGATGTTTTGATCTATCTAAACTCTGTCAAGGTCAGTAGTGTTTTTTTGTTGCTGTTATTTCCATTCTTCCAGATTCTCTCACCTTCTCCATATGACCATGTATTGAGATGATTGTCAAGTGATAGAGGAGGGCAATACTGATATTGTGGTTATGTTGCTGGACTGATATCCCAGCAGCCTGGGTTAATAATCCATGGAAGAGAAATGTAAATTCTATCATGATGGATTGAGAATTTGAATTTATTTTAACCATCTGCTGTAGGAAAGATGTTGTGAAACTTGAAATGGTTCAAAAACTATTTACAAGGATATTGCCAGGGTTGGAGGGTTTGAGCTATAGGGAGAGACTGAATAGGCTGGGGCTATTTTCTCTAGAGAGTTGGAGGCTGAGGGGTGACCTGACAGAGGTTTATAAAATCATGAAGGACATGGATAGAGTAAATGTGTAAGGCCTTTCCCCCAGGGAATGGGAGTCCAAAACTAGAGGGCATAGGTTTAAGTTAAGAGGGGAAAGATTTAAAATGGACCTGAGGGGCAGCTTTTTCATACAGAGGGTGGTCAGTGTGGAATGAGCTGCCAGAGGAAGTGGTGGAGTCTGGTACAGTTACAACATTTAAAAGGCATCTGGATGGATATGTGAATAGGTAAGTTTTAGAGGGATATGGGCCAAATGCTGGCAAATGGGACTAAATTAATTTAGGATATCTGGTTGGCATGGACATGTTGGACCGAACGATCTGTTTCTGTCCTGTACAACTCTGACTCTAGTAAAAGTGACCATTAGCTGTTGGATTGTGGTTAAAAACAGATGATTCATTGTTGCCTTACCCTGTCTGGCCTATGTGTATCTGCAGTCCCACACTAGCATGGCTAGCTCTGAACAGCTCTCTGAAATGAAAAGGAAATGAAAGACTCGTGTTTATATTGTGGCTTTAGTAATCACAGGACATTTCAAATCATTTACAGCCAATGAGGTACTTTCGAAGTATATACAATGTTGTAATGTAGGAAAAACCTAGCTAGTTTATGCCCAGCATGCTCTTACAAACCAGAATCTTATGATTTGATAAACGGCTTTTGGTGAACTTGGTTGAGGAGCAAATATTAGCTGAGACACCAAGGGTAAATCCCCTCTTCTTTTTCAAAATTGTTTTTACTGCATCTTTGAACACCCCCCCCACCAACCCTCATCCCCGCCGCCTTCCTCGGTGCTACACTGGAGTGTCAGTCTTGAATGGGACTTGAATCCACAACCTCTTAACTGAGGAGAGAGTGCTACCCATGGATTTCTTGGCTCATGCCTCTTGCCTGGTTTGAAAGGAAGGTTTGTCACTACCTTCTGAAAGGCAACTTGATTAATGACACCCAGATCCCAAGAGTGACTTTTTTTTTACCCCAAGATTGATACCTCTGTTTTATGGTTGGGTGAAATTTTTGTAAGATAAGGAGAGTCGGAAAATGTGTGTGGTTACTTGCACGCTGACCGAGGTTGCACCATAGCGGAGTATGACAAATAGAAATTGAAGGCAATAAACTTAGATGGAATATAATATTAGAAAATGTGAGGTTATGCACTTTGGCAAGAAGAATACAAGAGCTGAATATTAATTTAAATGGAGACTGCAGAAAGCTGCAACACAGAGGGATTTGGGGGTCCTTGTGCATAAATTTAGGAAAAGCTAGAATCCATATTCAGTCAGTAATAGGGAAGGCAAATGTAATGTTGGCCTTTACTTCAAAGGGAACTGCAGGATAAAAATAGGGAGGTCTTGTGAAAACTATCGATGGCACTAGTCAAATCACATTTACAGTACTGTGGATGGTTTTCCTTCTCTAAGGAAGCACATACTGAAATTGGATTCAGTCCAAAGACCGATCACTAGGTTGATTCTAGGCATGGAGGGATTTTCTTATGAGGAGAGGTTGAGTTGTTTGGGTTTGTACTCATTAGAATTTAGAAGAATGGGAGGTGACCTTATTGAAACATAGAAGATTCTTAGGCGACTTGCCAGGGTATATGCAGACAGATTGCTCTCGTGAGAGAGTCTAGAACCAGAGAGTCTTATGTCAGAGTAAGCTCGTTTAGACAAGTAGCCCAGATCAGGAGGAATTTCTTCTCTGGAGAATGCTTTACTTCAGAGAGCTCTCATGACTGGTTGTTAAGAATATTCAAAGCTGAAATAGACTGATTTTTAATCAGTAAGGGAATCTTGGCAAAAAAGCTGGAAAGTGGAGTTGAGGATTATCAGATCAGCCATGATCTCATGATTTGAGAGTAGACTCAATGGGCCCAATGGCCTACTTTTGCTCCTGTGACTTATGATCATATAATATCCAGTTTCTGGAGTTGGTGCCAGTTGCTTACTGACTCATTTTTTTCAACAACCAGTGAAGTCAGAGGCTATTCTGGATTAAATCTGATAAATGTGTAAGCTACAGTCTCCATTTTTAAAGTGCTTTTAGCCTAGTAAAGCTTCTTAAGACACTCCACAGGAGTTAGATTAATGTTTAAAACTGAGGAGGTATAGGAGATAGCAAAACAAATGGCTAAAATCTTCACAAGCAAAGTAGAGTCTAAAGAGTGTCTTAAGTGAGGATACAGAAATAGAACAGAACTGGGGAGAAAATGGCACCTAGGCAGCTGAAGGGACACCTGCCAATAGTGGGCCATTGAAAATTGGTAATATGCAAGATACAAAATTGAAGATGCACAGAGATCTCAGCTATCTCGAATAAAGGGCTAGTGAATGTCAGGCAGCCACCATGATATTAGAACTGAAGTATTTATAGAAATGAGTAAAAAGAACAGGGATCAAAGATATTCAGGTTGGTTGGCTCGCTGAGCTGGTTTGTTGTTCTGCAGACGTTTCATTACCCTGCTGCGTAACATCCTCAGTGCAGCCTCCGATGAAGCGTCGGTGTGTTTTCCCGTCTGGTTTTTAAACTCTGGAATCCGTTGAGCTGGATTGCCTCACTTCCGGTTTTCCTTCGTAGTGGAGTGTATATGGGGTCGAGTTCTATGTGTTTATTGATGGCTTTCTTCGTGGAGTACCAGGCTTCTAGGAATTCCCGTGCCTGTCTCTGCTTAGCTTGTCCCAGGATTTTGGTGTTGTCCCAGTCGAATTGGTGGTTCTCCTTATCCATGTGGATTGAGATGAGTGAGTATTGGTCATGTCTTTTTGTAGCCTGTCGGTGTTCATGTACCCGTGTGGTTAGTTTCCTTCCTGTTTGTCCGACGTAGTGTTTCTCACAGTCTCTGCAGGGGATCTTATAGATGACATTGGTCCTGTCCATGGCGGGGAGTGGGTCTTTAGTTCGGGTGAGCAGTTGTCGTCGGGTTGATGTGGGCTTGTGTGCCACTCTGATGCCCAGCAGTCGTAGGAGTGTTGTGTTTAGTTCCGATGTGTTCCTGATGTAGGGTAGTGTGATGAGTGTGTCGAGGCGTGTAGTATCTTCCTGATGTTGTTCGTGTAGGCATCTTCTGACCCAGTTTTTTGGATATCCATTATCCTTGAAAACCTGGAAGAGGTATTCTTCTGAGATAACAAGGTGTAGAGCTGGATGAACACAGCAGGCCAAGCGGCATCAGAGGAGCAGGAAGGCTGACGTTTCGGGCCTGGACCCTTCTTCAGAAAGGGTATTCTTCTTCCTCTTGGCGTAGTTCCGTGTTGCTACAGTGTGTTGTTGCCTGTTTAAATAGTGTTCATACGCAGCTTCGTTTGTGTGTGTGGAGATGGTTACTTTTGAAGTTCAGTACCTGGTCTGTGTGTGTGTGGCTTTTCTGTGTACTTTCGTTTGGCGTTCCAAACTCGACCAACCTAATTTGGTTTTAGTGAATCTTTTTAGATCAGAGAAGATTTAGAGGAAATTTAGAGGCATCCAAAATAATATGTTTCAATAGTTTAAATGAGGAGAAACTGTTTCCAGTGACAGACTATTAGGAGATGGTTCTTCTTAAACAAAAGGCAGAAATTTAAATGCAATGACAAAAGAACCAGAAGTGACATGCAAACTCTGTTTTTTATGTTCTGGAATGAATTTTTTTTTTAAAAAATCGTTCACTGGATGAAAGCATTGCTGGACGCTGCATTGCCTATTCCAGAGGACAGTTTAGAGTCAACCACATTGCTGTGAGTCTGGAGTTATATGTAGGCCAGATCAGGTAAGGATGACAGTTTCCTTCCCTGAAGGACATCAGTGAGCCAGATAGATTTTTTTCAACAATTGGCAGAGGGTTCATAGTCATCATTAAGACTCCTAATTCCAAATTTTTATTGAATTTAAATTCCAGCATCTGCCATGGCAGGATTTGAACCAAGAGCTCCAGAACATTACCTGGGTCTTAACAGTCCAGCAATAATACTTTGGAGGCTATTGTCTCCTCCAGTTGTGATCTGGAATGCTAATTACTTTGAATCGGATAAACACTTGAAGAGCAAAAAAGTTCATGGCTAAAAGAAAGGAGCAGGGAGTGAAGTTGACCCAGTTGGAGTTGATCTGGACCACGGTGTACAGTACTGGTCAATGTACTTACAGGAGGATGTTACTGCCTTGGATGCAGTTCAGAGAAGATTTTCTAGACTAATACCTAGAATGAATGGATTGTCTTATGAAGAAAAGCTAGACAAGCTAGGCCTGTATCCTCTAGAATTTAGAAGAGTCAGCGGTTACTTAATTGAAACATGTAAGATCTTGAGGGGACTTGACTGGGTGGATATGGAAAGGATATTTACTGTTGTGGGAGAACGTGGAACTAGGTGTCATGTCTTGAGAGTAAGATGGCACACATCTAAGACAGAAGTGAGGGAAAGTCATTTCTCTGACGGTTGAATCTTTGGAATTCCCTTCCTCAAAGAGCAGTGAATGCAGAATTTTTTTTAGGCAGAGGTAGGTAGATTCTTGATTACTGAAGGAATGAAAGATTGTCAGCTGTATGCAGGAACGTAGAGTTGAGGTTAAAATCGGATCAGCCATGATCTTATTGAATAACAGGAGCAGGCTTGAATATCTGAGTGACCTACGTTTGTTTG